CTCCTCACCTCCCTCCTTGCGCCCATCCAGGCGCAACTCGCGACCCTCACGCCCATCCAGGCGCAACTCGCGACCCTCGGGCCCTTACAGGCGCAGGTGGCGACCCTTGCCGCCGGCGTGCAACAACTCCAGGACGCTGGTCGTCCTTCCTCTCCTCATCCTCTCTCTTCTCCTGGCTCTCAGTCCGGGTCCCCAGTTCTCCGACAGGGTGGCCACGGCGGAGTTTCCTCCTCTGCCGCCCTCGACCCGGCCATTTTTGTGACCGTCCACGCCCCTAGCTCGACGGCCGCCACGAGTCAGGCCCTTCCTCAGTCTACGGGCGCACCGGCCCAGATTCCGGTTACGACGGCCACGGGACCACAACCCGTTACCATGGTCTCAGCGTTTCCGGGTGCCCCGCTCCTCCCCCCCCTTCGCACGACCGCAGCGCCACCTGGCTCTCCCCCCTCTGGGATGCCCCGCGCCGCCCTCGTCGCCAAAACGGTGGCGCACCACTCATCCGCTTGTCGGACATTGCCTTGCATAACGGTACAGGCATACGCGTGTCTCGGTGGCTGCAGTCTGCCACCCGCACACTCCAGCTCATGGGCGCCACATTCGAGACGTGGGTGGGTCACCTCTCCACGCGCCTGCGTGGCGGCCCTTTCGAGGCCTGGGAGGATTTCTATGCCTACTCCCTTCGTGAGGGTCGAACTCCGACCTTCGTGGATTTCCAGGCGTTCCTCGAGGATCGCTTCGGAGCCCGATACGACGTGACTGACGCCTTCGAGCGTGTCGTCACTACATGCTGGTCCGGCTCTGGTGCCGCTGCTGGCTTGGATCGCCACATCCAGGTCTTTCAGGATGCCCGCCTCGTTTGCGACGTGGCGTTCCTCCCCGAGGCTGCCCTTATCGATCGTTTCTTGGCCAGCCTTCCGCTCGAGTACCGCTCCGAGCTATGGCGGTACGAGTTCACATCGGCCCCGCAGGCTTACGAGGCCGCAAGGGACCACCAGCAGATGCGAGCCCGTCTTCACCCCGCCTCCTCCTCCCATCCCCAGCGCACGGGCTACGCCTCCTCCTCCTCTCACGGCACTTCCCAGCGCCGTTCCCCTTTCCGCGGTCGCCCCCGTCGTTCCACGCAGCAGGGCCGCCACTTCTCGCGCCGCTTCAGCGCGCTKGAGTATGGTGAGCAGGACGCTGTTGCCCCACTGTCATCTGAGGGCGACCACAGCGACGACCTCGATCTCTGCGAGGCCGTCCACTATCACTTGGAGGACTCTACCCTCCCTGCAGCTGAGCGCCTTCAGCTCGCGCTCTCTGCCCTCTCTCGGGCAYGCAGCCGCCCCGGTCACGCTGGCGCATCGCCCCCAGAGGTCCCTCAGGAGGACCTCCCTCAGGGCTTCGTCCCTCCTCGTGATGTCCTTTCCCCTGAGGAGCGCACGGCTATTCTGGGCCGGCGTGGGTGTTTGCGCTGCCGCTTGGACGGTCATACCTCCTCGCGGTGCCCTTACACTGCCGCCCTCGACCGCCACTACGCTGACCTTTCTCGTCAGCGTCGTGCTCAGTCCCCCCCCGGCGCCTTACGTCCCCACGGCGCCTCCTAGCCACGGTGCAGTGTACACCTGCGCCCTCCTCAGTAGTGGACTTTCCGACATCTCCGTCGCGGTTCGCCCCTCTCGCTACTGGAGTTGAGGTATCGCAGGACTCGACAGAGTGTACTCAGCCCTCTGTCGCAGTACCGTCTGCGCCTCCGCAGACCACCGTCTCCCCTCCTCCCCCGCCGCGACTACCGACGCGTCGAGCCATTCGCTCAGCCCGTTGCAGCGAGCAGCTTGCTACTCGCGAGGACGTTGTGTCCTCTCTTCTGGACTTGAGCATGCTCCAGGCTCGTCAGGAGCGACTCACCCTCCATGTCGCTGCACTGCTTCGCCTTCTCGCCATCCTCTCTGACCCTGATTGCACCCTCCCGATCATCCCCGTACGACTCGGGACCTCCACGAGGGTGTACTCAGCGTTGTGGGATTCCTGTTCTCGGGGCGACTTCATTCACCCACGCGTGGTGAAGGAAGCCCGCTTACCCACGACAGGGTCTCCGACTCCCATCTCCGTTACCCTAGGGGATGACAAGACCCAGCGCTTCTTCGATCAAACGGTCACCGACCTCCCCTTCTTCCTCACTCTCGAGCCGACTGAGCGTTCCCCGGCGTCTCGTCGCCACCGCTCCTCTACACATTTCGATGTGATGGAGACGGGGTACGACTTCATTCTCGGCACTCCGTGGTCTCGTCGGTTCCGCAGCACCGAGGCCGATTGGGCGACCAACACTCTCGTTCTCAAAACGAAGTGTGGACAGACGTATCGCGTACCTTTCATAGGTACCACGGCGACACCACGCCTCGGTCCTCCTCCCCCGGAGCCTTCAGTGCCCACACCATCTCCCTCTATCACTGTCACCTCGCCTCGGCAGTTCGCTCACTTCATTCGGCAGGACGACGTCACCTTCTTTATGGTGGACGTGACGGATCTCTTACACTATGATCCACCCTGTCCCGGCGCCGAGCTCATCCCTCTGGAGCCAGATCCTCCCTCTATCTCCATGGCTCCCATCTCTATTTCCGTCCCTCCGCCGTCCGTCGAATCCACCCCGCCGTCGCGCGCTGACGCTGACGCTGAGGAACTCGCACGATATACGGCTGACTTGGAGCCCGCAGTTCGTGACCTCATCCGAGAGTACCACGGCGTTTTCCCATCGTCGTTCTCGTACGCCGGCATCCCACCGATGCGTGACGTCGAGCACTCCATTCAGCTCGTGCCTGACTATCGTGTTCACCACCAGGCACCCCACAGACTCTCGATCCCCAAGGCCACCGAACTCAAGCGTCAGCTTGAGGAGCTCCTGAGACTGGGTTTCATTAAACCCAGCAACTCCCCGTGGGGTGCACCC